CACCAATTTACTTGTCGAGAGAAAGAAAGAAAAAGGTTCACCGAATGCGAAAAAAACGAAAACTTTGTCAACCTGGAAACAATTGAGCCATAACAATCCTTGAAAAGTCTGATCAAGTCCAAGGTTAATAACGAAATGATTCAGTTTCCCGTTGATGAGCCAATGTCAACATCTTTTTTTGTGTTTAACCATTTTTTTGTGTCCACATTATTATTTCAACTTTAATTTTATTCAACTTTTTCTGTGCCAATTTCAGATTCACAATTTAACATTCATCAAATGTGTTCATTATCATTCACTTCTGGGTTTCATCTCAAAGGCAAATGTTTTTCTCATGATATTTCAACTAATAGCTAATTAAAAGGCAATTTAATTAACATGAAAATGAATCTCATTTAAACAGGCAACAAAGATGAGACAACATTGAGCCAGCAAAAAAATCAACACAAAAAATGAAAGAAAAGTTTCGAATAAAGAAAACTTTGCCATCATTATTCGACAAATGAAACCGCGAAAAGCGTCATTTGTTCAACTCTACTGAATATGTTCAAGGTTTGATCAATGAAAAAGAACTCAACAAAATTGTTCCAATTTCCATGATCACCATTTGAATCAATATTTTTGTCACCTCAAGTGATTAACATTGAACTTCAAGTTGAACAAAATGGCCAACAACAAAATGTCGATGTTCACACGATTAAAAGTTTTAATGAAATGATTGGTGAAACTTTCACTCTTATCTTGAGCCTACTTTACCTGCTGTCGTTACCTGTTCACGGTTAGATTGTTGTTGGAGACAAAAAGAGAAGAGAGAAAAAAGTCAATCAATTGATAGATTCCGTGGATATGATTTGCACGATAATAGTAAAGTATTCTTGATGATGATAATGATGATGTATCTTCAAGACCAATCATGAGTTTCCCTTTCATCTTAATTCCTAGGCTATCTGATCGTAAGTCATGCTTCATAATTAGGTCTAATGGTTACGATCGTCTTACTTTTCACAGAAATGATAATGATGGTGAGGGAGAGGGAAACAGGTAAACACTCCAAGGACATTTTACCAATACAGTTGGACGATGGTGAGAGACATCGAGTGAGCCAAATTATGCTCGTGATGATAAAAGTGCAGAGTAAATGTAATAATGTATAAGGTTGACTTGCGACTGGTGAATCAAGCGGAATCAGTGTTACAGTGATTTACTAACAATCAATGAGATATAATACGAGTCATTGAGCGTAAACAAGGGCTGAAAAAAGCGACAAGCAAAATAGTATTATTGTAGTAAAAAGTAGGAGTTAATCAGTGAAAAAGTTAACATAGACAAGTGAGGAGAAATGGGTAAAGAGAGAGAGAGAGATTTTGATGACGGAAATTTGAAAGGAGATGCGCTTGAAAGGGCCTGGTAATTTAAGGGCCTGAAGAGCACCTTGAAATCGATCTTCGCTTCATTGATACTATCATTGGAAGAGAGAAAAAAATAATTTGCGTCTTTTTTGCAAAAACTCGTAGATGGATGGAAGAGAGAAGGGAAAGTTAAAGATGATTTGACCTGAAAAGAGAGGGAAAAGTTTTTCGTTTGTTTGTAAAATTATCATCTTTGCTTCCCTTTGCTTGGTGCGATAATTATTTGCTTTTTTGCTTCTCTTTTTTGCGTTTTCTCACAAAATCGATCAACGTTCATTCAAAGGAAGGAATCAAAGTTGATCATTTTATCTTGATTTGTTTGTTACACTTTACTTGGCCTTTCCTGGTCTCACCTTGCATCTTTCCTGGATTACCTGGAAATGGGTTTATGGTGAGTGTGAAGGAGCAACAAAACCAAGGCGCATCCAAGGACAAGGACGAAGTTGTCTTCAAGTTTTCCCATTCATTTTCAACCTTTTGCTTCTTTTACCGCATCTTTTGCATAATCTGTTTAATTCATTAGAGAAAAGTTATTTCTATCACAAAATATTTGCAGCCGTTTAGCGCCTACACAGAAAAGGGTTAAGTTAACGATGCTATTGAATAAGTTATACAAGAATGAGAATCACAAAAACCAACTTTACTCTTCTAAAAACGACATTAAATCAAAAACTAAAAGTGTCTTTTTTCTTGCACAAAAATCTTCATTAAGTCCGTTCAAACGTTTCAAAAGATCGAAGAAATGCAAGGACTCTATCAACTTTCGAGAAATCCGTATGAGAATCGTTCAATTCTCTTTATGTTGTAGTTGATTTCGAATTCTTTCTGGTAAAAGTTGCTTTACTTTGTCATAAAGACACTTAAAATCATTTTATGCTTCTAAACTAAAGAATCTGTTGAAAAAGCAAAATCGTATCAAGTTTAAGCTTCTGAACTTGAAAATTATTATGTTTGTATGTTAGCAGCTTTCGATGTTTTTTTGAAATCGAAATGAAGTCTATTGTACCATGTTCTTCCCTTAGATCTTTATTTCCTCACAAATTGACGAAAGTATCTTTAATTTTTCATTTCTGGTTTGCTTTTCCACTTCTAACCAATCGGTTGAAAATTGTATTTGAAGTGAAATCGTGTAAAAAGCGTTTTGTTAAATGTTAACGAAAAGTTGATTAACGGATGAATAAAGTTGGAAACTTGTATGGATGTTGTTGTAATGAATTTATGCGCCTTTTTACCTGTCTTTTGTTTCTCATTTTTCACAAGTGAAAAGTTACCTTGATCGTTACGATTAATACTTGAACGATTCCATTAATTAGACTTATAGATTTATCATTATGCTCAATATTATCTTCACTTTGCATCCATCTATGAATCCGTAAACGATGAACCATAGCAAGCTTTTAATAATGATTAGTGTTTAGTTGCTTTCCTCTTAACGACCCAAAAAAAGTTCCTTATCCTTAGGTCAATTAAAGACAACCGTTGGTAATTGGGAAAAGAAGAAGTGATTGAAAACTTGTTGATCAAGGTTATTCCCATGAATTAATCACATCCATTTGATTAAGTGAAAAAGAAGTGAACTCAAGATGGAAAAACAATCGTCAAGAAAACTAGATAAATCATGATTCCCTCTGATTTCCAATTTCAATCAATTCACCTTCTCATCAATAAACTGTCAACCTTTTTGATTTGAAAAATTGGATAAACTTGAAAAGCCAAAGCTGACAAAAACCAAGTTCAGTAAAAAGAGAGAAAATTGAAACTCCAAAAGAAATGGAAGAAAAGTTTCAAAAAGTCAATGAAACGGACAAACTGAACAAATGCAAGTGCAATAATATTAATTGGAGCAATCAATTGAACGAAAGTCGGGAAAACATTGAACAGGAAATTTACCAGTTTTAATGAGCAATGACAAACATTGCATTTTTATTGCAAATTACATCCACTGTTCACCTTTAATCGGGTGAAAGGTTGTGAACTGGCCAATGGATCGCTATCAATACTTCACTTGTTAACCGGCAACAACACAGAGAGACACAAAGAGGCGCAAAGTACAGCACAGCCCAAAATGGTTATAAGTTGAAGCTACTAAATGAATGAAGTAAAGGCAGAGAAGAGGCAAAAGTTACGCTTAAAGCTCAATCAGCGGAACCAGTGTTAACCAGTGAAAAGGCTCAATGATTATGGTCTGTAAACAACGAAACGGATATGAATTAGTAATAATATTAGCAATAGCAATAATAAAGAGTGAATTAGCCAAGAAAATATAAAAATACAAATCATTATAATATATCGCAACACAATAATATTGCACACATTTGAAGGTTCATTTTGTTTCCAATGAGTTTTACCTTTTTTCTTGCTTTTTTTTCAGTTACTAATGAACTTTTTTTTCCTCTCAACTTTTGAATCTCTTTTCAACCTTTTTCAACAGTCGGGTCAATTTATTCTGAAAGATGCGGAACGATATTGCAGGTTAAGACATGGTTAACAGACTGACCGTTCATCTGTTTACTTTTGGAAAATGTTTTTTTTCTTTTCTCTTGCTTTTCGAACCAAAATTTGCCTTCATTTCAATTGTTTAAAAAGTTTTGGCCAAAATTCATTGAACCATTTAGGGTCATATTTGGCCTGATCAAGTGACCTTTACTTTTGCACAATCTTAACCAATGAATTAACCATTTTTCATGTGAATCTGAGGTTTGACTTTTCACTCAATTAAATGATGAAAGTTGCTTCAATGGTTCAATCAATTGATTTTATTGAATAACAATTCAACTTTCATCTTGTTTGCCAGATTTTTCATCTTCTCATCTTCATATTCATCATCATTTTCAATGCATTTTTCACTTTCAATTGACACACCAAAGATGATCAATTGAGTCAAAGATTGATCAAGATTTATCTTCAACTCATCAATGGTAATGAAGAAAAGAACCTTTTCATCTTCTGTTTACTTTATCATCTTCCCATGATGATGATGATGTGAAGCATGATACTTGAGTTGAAATTTGTTTATTTATTTTCCAATCTAAATTGTGTTTAAATCACTTGTAAGTGTCAACTTATTAACCTCTCTATTCACTAATGATGTCACTTGATTGTCACTTAATGTCCAAATCAATTGGTAACAATCAATCAATTGACCCATCAGTTTGTCGTTGCCAGCCTTTTCACAATTAACTCAATTAACTTTAATTGTTAGCCAATCATGAAACCATTAACAATCCATTATAATCCAATGGAATGTGATCAATATCAGTGAATTCAAGGAAATTGCATTAAATTCAATTTTCAAATTAATCGTTGAAATGAAAATTTAAAATCTTTCACTCTTCTTGAATAAATTAACAGTCTAAATGTATTCAATCAATTTATCAATTGCTGTTAACTGACAAAAAGTCAATTTAATAAAATAATTCATGTTAATATTGAATTTATAAATCGCTTGGTTACTGCGGGTCAATCACTACAATTAATTGCTATTAGTTGATTTGTAAAGCAGTAAAGCAATAAAAAGGTTTCTCATTATTCTTGTTAACATCAATTAAAATCATTGATTCTTCATCATATTAATCACAGAAAACAATAAAATGAATCAACAGAATTAACAGTTTTATTAATCATGTATTGGTTATTACAGGAAATTCAAGTTGATGGAATCACAATTTTGATTATATTTTGCTAATGTTCATCTCTCATTTACAATGCATTAGTTTACATGATTAGGATTGTAATGATTAGCTGATAGACAATCAGACTTAATGTGTTAACATGTTAGAGTTTTCGAGTTTTTCGTTGTTTCCTAGTTTTCCATCTTTTCGTACTTTTGTTTTTCCAGTTTAAGCTATTTTCATTTACGATTCATCAATTTTTTATTTCGCTCTGTTGGATTAAAGTATGAAATGTAATTCAAGATGAGCATGATGATGGTGATGGTGATGATAAAAACATTATTGTACGGATTGAAGAAAAATTGTATTAAAAGTTTGCTTCTTGTGTAAGAAGTAATAACATTTCTTGTTTCAAACCCTGAACAATTGTCATTAACATGAAATGTGAAGAGTAAAAGTCTCAAAATTTGCTTCACTTTTGCTCAACTTTAATCTTTGTCTTTTCCTCATCAACCTCATCTTTTAACTCAAAGATTATCATTTTCTTTATCCTTCATCTTCATCAGCTTTTCATCTTCTTCTTCTGTTTCTACAAGTTTTTTGATAAAACAATTTTGGTTCAGCAAAAGTTTCTCTCTCTCTCAATAAATGTGATGATGATGGTTGTGATGATGGTATAAGGATGAGATGATCAAGTGATGAAGGGTGATGATTTAAGATTACCAAGTTGGATGGGAAGAGGAAGATGAGAGTAAAGGATCGAAAGGATTGTCACCATTTAATAGTAACATTTTGCTATGTGAGGAAAGGAGAGTTGAAATAATCAGGGAAAGAAGCACTTAACAGTGGAAAGTTAAGTATTAAATGAAAGTAAAATTATGATTAGTGTTAAATTCATCTTAAATATTACTATTGTTGCTATTATTATGATTATGATTATTTTCAATCTCAACCTATACCAAGTGAAAATACGAATGAAAATGGTTTTTATTTATTTTCATTCATTTTTCAGGACAATTTAAGGATGAAAATGGTTTCAATTTGAACCTATCTTCAGATTATGGTGATGATGACAAGAGAAATAAAAATTGTAAATCTCAAATGTAATATTTGGTTGATGAAGAAATGAATGGAAAACAAAAGAATACAAGAAATTATATCATTTCACTTATTGTTTTTTCTTCTTGTTCACTTTCAACATTTACATCACCATAATAACCATCATAATAACCATCATAATCACCATTATAATCATACTCATAATCATAGGGCTCATTGCAGTCAACATCATCTGGTTGTGTTAACCTTTCGATGAAATACTTTAGAGTTGACGATTGTTGGTTTGACTGGTCAAATTGAAATGTTGACGATTGACAACTCAGGGATTCCTATTAATTGGATCATGATTTGTAATTGCCACTAATTAATCCAATATTACAATTGAATGATCACCTTAGTCACGGCAAGAGTAAATTGTTGATGGTGATTGATTAATGCATCTTATCCAATGAATGATCACCAAGTAAATTGTCAATCATTGACGGTTTTTCTTTCTTTTCTTCTTGGCTTTTTTTCCCTTTTTTTCTGGTTTCCATTTCTTTATCCATCTTTTGGTTTGTTGGCATTGAAGGACAATTGGATGACAATTTGTTGACAGCCTGTTTAGTACGTATTATTAAAAGTATTACCATTTAGTTTAACACCATTGATTTTAGAGTGGCTTTAATCAATTGTTTTCAATTGTTTTCCTTTGCTCAGCCATTATTTGCTTCATCAAGTACAATTGATAGCAATTAATAAATAACAATTTGGATTTCCCGTCCTTGTTTCAACATTAATGTAGCACTTGCTTCACTGGCCCAGCTCCACTTGTGACTCGGTTACAAATTGGCGCTTTGTCTTCAATTGCGTACATTTACATGGGGATAATCAAACCAACATCAGGATAACCAAAAGATGCAACTTTTTCACCTCAGGAAAATGGTTGTGTTGATTTATTAATTAAAATTTACCATCATTAATGTGCCTTTTCATTGCCAGACCGATGTCTATCCTAATGGTGGTTCAATCAATGACAAAACCCGGATCATTGGTTGTTCAAATTCCTTGTGTTGCTATTAATAAAAACAGTGTAAAAGAAAACAAAAAATAATCATAAGTATCATATTAATCACAATAATAAAAAACACGCAACAAGCTAAATAAAATAAGACTTACCATAGTAAAAGAGAGGGAACAGAAAGAAAAGCTCAAGAAAAATCCAAAATGTCTTCAAATGTAATAAACTGTATTATTAACTGTTGATTGTCAACCATTAATGTATTTATGTCTATCGACGCATAACCAATACAAAAGGCCACATCGAGGTCATACGGGTAAATTAACCTTGAGAAGTAAAACCAGCAAAAAAACAAATGATAAAAAAATCAAGCAAAAATCTGAAAAAAAGCTTAAATTATAACATTAACCAATTAGACACATTAACCTCAACAACTCCATCTAACGGTGCAAACGAAAACGAGATAAATCATCAAAAATTGAAAATTAAATTAACTTAAAATCCAAAAAAATAGAAATTTCATTTCCATTTAACACTCAAATTATCAATAAACAGACAAAATAAAAGGCCATTTAATTAGACAAATATTGGAGAGAAATTTTGGTGAAAAATCGCAAACTGATTAAGATGAATGAGTGTTCAGTGATTAACAGAAGGAGCAAAGTTAAATGACGAGTCAACAATAATTATGATTGAATTTGATACTTAATACAGTTATCCAAGTTGACAATCAGTTATCATTAACAGGATAAATGAATGGCTGAGAATAAAAGAAAATGTTGAACAAAAATATTTAAATTGTATATTTTATGAGATGATATAAATTATTGTCAGAAGGCAAGAAAATAATTGGACAAGATAAATATTAAATGATATTATTAATAATGATTTGAAAAGCTGGAAAACTGGAAAGCAAAGTGTGATTTATTTGCAATAATCAAGGGAAAGCAAGAGAGAAATGATTGAAATGATTTAAAGATGGAGAATAGAAGAAAATTGAAGTTAAAACAAGTGAATTACTGAATCATGATTCTGATTACAACCCTGATTGCGATGATAATAATGATGATTGTAAACGATGATAATGATGAAGTGATCTTGATGTGCAAATGATAAGTCGAAAGTTAACATTTGTCTGTTGCCTTTTTTTTTGCTGCTCAACAAATAAATAACTGTCTTATTTAATTCAATTGAAATTACAAGTTCTCATTGAATTTGGCTGTGTGTTTCAACTGAATCTTCAATTTAACAATTTCAACATTGATTAACAGATTGTAATGTGAGAATGAAAATGATGAAGATGATTGCATCTTTGATCATCTGGTACAAACTTTATCATCATCATCTTTTACTGATAAACATAAATCATTTACAGAAGATGCTGAGTTAATGTGAAGCCAACAAGACAAGCTGTATTATTTAAATGAATTATGAATTGGAACACTGAAAACTACTATTAATTGGATCATTTTCAAGTGCTCCTGATTGAACTTTTATCTTTCTCTTTTTCTGTCTTTCTTTTCTTTCTTTCTTCTCTCTCCATCCTCATCCTCATCTTCATATTTATCTCTTTCCTCGAAACACTTTCAACTTGCTTCAATCAATCCAATTGTTTCTCATCTTTTCTTCTTCTTGTCCTCTTCTGAGTAACTCAAATGAATTTATTCAATTTTCACTTTAACCATTTCAATCTTTCATCTTCTTCTTCTTTCTCTCATCTTCTTGTTTAGTTGGTTAATCAAATGATGAACGATCATCTTCTTCTTCCTGTCAGGCTAATCATTTTCATTGCAAATTATTACAGATAATGTATTTGACATTGTTTCCAAATGTTTTACAGCCAATAATTGTCTTTGTTTTCATTTCAATATTCATCCATAATTTACAATGATTGAGTATTTACTTGCATTTCCATGACTAAGCTTGCACCAGGAATTGACGATTAATTGAATTAAAAGTGTTGAGCAAATGGCAAAAACTATATTAAGTGTGTCTTCATTTTTGTAACGAATGGCAAATGAATAATTTTTCATTTAAAAATGAAAACATTGAAAGAGGTGAGGAAATTTTCAGTTTTTTGTATGGATTTAAAAACAGTAACATTGACTGACTTATTCAAGGGTTAATATCAAATGCAGCTTTTGGTTGTGAAAATGATTTTTTAAAGTTGCCGCTTAAATTAAAGCAAACCAGAAAACGTGAATCCAGTACTGCCATCTATCGTCAAGTCTAAACAATATGTGAGTTGGTTAAGTAAATTAAAAGTATAAGTAGTTTAATTAGTATAATCAGTATAATAAGCTAGAGAAATGCTGAAATAATAAAAAAATAAACGATATGAACGATCATCGAAGATAGCCTTGAATAAGATATTAAGTTTTATCTCTCTAGATAAGTATTTGCCCAATGTGCGATTCGAACTGATAAATATGATTTGGGTTTTTGGTTTTTTGATTTCTTAATGATAATCAACTTGTAAATTACTGTTAGTTTTCATTGAGAGCCTGTACCAGTAAATTGTGGTTGGACAACAGATATGAGACAGAGTGCGAGATACATTTCTGGTTTCGATTGTAGCAATTTTTAGGTTCTATTATGCAGCATAGAAATGCAATTAAAATTAGCACTTAAAGCGTTTTTTATCGATAACACACGAAAAGTTGGTGCTATGAATCTTGGATTTACATCTTGAGCTTATGCTAAACATAAATTCGGACTTTCAAGCTCATTCGAGGTAACCCCATTATTTGAGCTCTGACAAGTGACCTTTGAAGGTTAATTTCCTAAGGGATATTTATTTCAATGGTTATTATTGATTTTGCTTATTGAAAGGGAAATCACTTTTCAGTTGAATTTTACAGAAATGAAGAATTAAAATAATTCAATATCAAACATGAAAATCATCTAAAGTCAATAGAGAAAAGCTGTGCAAAGACAAATAATCATATGAAATTGCATGTAAAAGCACATGAAAATATTGTCCAAAATGATATCATAAAATATTCCTAGCCTTTTTTTTTAACAATTGTAATCGTATAATCCTTAATTGTTAACAATGTTAACCCATTTTAAGCGTAACCAAGCGCTTCCCAAACTGGTTACAAAATTCAGGTTTTAAAATCGGTGCGTGTTCGGTTATTTGACAAAAGATTAATCCGATATCCGAATTATATTTGAACCATTTTTAATTGCACATTAAGCTAAATTAATAGGAATTTGTTGATTTAGTTTCAATAAATTGCATTTTTTCTGTTAGACAAATGTTATCCTCTAATAGATGGCGTACAAAAAGATTAGTAAAACTAGTTGTCGGGTAAAGCTAGTCTTACTTAAATGCAATCCGTAATATGGTGACAGACCCCCTTTCACTAGTCTCCGCCATTTTAATCTTATACAACGTTTCATTTTCTATTGAATTTTTCTTTAATTTGTATACATTACAGTTACTCTTCTAATTAATTAATTTAAGTTAATTCATCATGGATCGTGGTGGAATGAGAGGTATGAGAAGAGGTCGTGGTATGAATAGCTTTAAAAGTGATCGTGATAATGACTGGAGAAATAATAAACCAGTTGGTTACGAAGAACAGCCAAGCCAAGGCACTGGTGGTGGTGGTGGCTATGGAGGATTTAATAATTATAGAGGAGGCTCTGGACGAGGCTATTACAGCGGTGGTAACAGTGGTTTTACAGGCAATTACGCTGGTGGAGGACGAGGTTACAGTGGAAATGGTAATTCATATTCTCATCAGTCTAATGCTGCATCGAACTTTAATTATAACCGACAAGACGCTGCTGCCTGGACTCGATTACAGCCTAAGAATGACATGATTGAACAGAGTTTATTCGGTCAAGGTCATACTGGAATTAATTTTGACAAATATGAGGACATACCGGTGGAAGCATCCGGTACTGACTGTCCTAAACATGTCGAAAGTTTTAAAGAAATTGAATTTACTGAAATTATTCGTCATAATGTTGAACTCGCCGGTTACTCTAGACCAACACCAGTTCAAAAGTACGCTATTCCTGTTATCTTGAAGAAAAGAGACTTAATGGCCTGTGCTCAAACTGGTTCAGGTAAAACGGCTGCCTTTCTGGCTCCAATTCTTAATATGATCTTTGTTAATGGACCTCCTAAAGATATGCCTACTATACGCTCTGGAGCTAAGATAAAACAATACCCCTTGGCTTTAGTTCTTGCACCTACTCGTGAACTTGCTGTACAGATATACGATGAAGCTTGTAAATTTGCTTATAGATCCTGCGTCAGACCCTGTGTTGTTTATGGTGGAGCTGATCCAGTTGCCCAAATGCGAGATTTAGACAAAGGATGCCAGGTTTTAGTTGCAACTCCTGGTAGACTGGTTGATATGACAGAAAGAGGCAAAGTTGGTCTTGATATGGTTCGCTATCTTGTTCTTGATGAAGCTGATCGTATGTTGGACATGGGTTTTGAACCTCAAATTAGAAGAATTGTTCTACAAGACAGCATGCCGCCGGTCGGTCAACGTCAGACTCTTATGTTTTCAGCTACCTTTCCTAAGAAAGTGCAAGAGCTGGCTCGTCAATTTCTTGACAATTATATCTTCTTAGCTGTCGGTAGAGTTGGAAGTACCTCTGAAAATATTACACAAAAATTTTATTGGGTTGCTGAATTAGAGAAAAGATCAGTTCTTTTAGACATCCTTGCAGCTGAAGGATTAAAAGCGGTAGACTCTGGTAAGTGAAAATTTCTTTTAACCTTTATACTCATCTAAGTAAACTATTATTCAAATCCCACGAATTAATTAACAATTTATCAATATTAATGACTTAATTTTTCCTTTCCACCTTACAACAGCCTCTGAATCATTGACATTGGTGTTTGTTGAGACCAAAAAGGGAGCAGATTCCCTAGAAACCTTCTTGGACCGTGAAGGATTTCCAGTAACAAGTATTCACGGTGATAGATCTCAAAGAGAACGTGAAGACGCTTTAATGTCATTTAAAACAGGTCGTACACCAATTCTTGTTGCTACCGCTGTCGCTGCTAGAGGACTTGACATACCGAATGTCAAACACGTAATAAACTTTGATCTTCCAACCGACATTGAAGAATATGTTCATCGTATTGGTCGTACTGGAAGAGTTGGTAATTTAGGAACTGCTACGTCATTTTTCAATGAAAAGAATAAAAATATGGCAGCAGACTTAGTTGATCTATTGACTGAGGCTAAACAAGAAATACCAGAATGGCTAACAACTCTCGGAAAAGACGTACAAAGTGAACAAAGAAACTCTAATCAAAGAAAATATGGTCAAAGAAGGTACGCATTGATTATTTTGCGCTATTTAATCTTATCCCATTCCATCCATTCTTACATCATACTAATTTCAAATTTTACTTTTTCTCGACAGATATGGTGCCGGTGGTTTCGGCTCTCGAGATTATCGACAATTTGACAGGGGTGGAGCTCGTTCTAATGGCCCAAGTAGAAATGTTTCAAATGGTTCTTTCGGACAACCCAACAATTTCGCCGGATATAATGGAGCTGCTCCACCTCAAGGTCAATACATGGGCTACCGTGGGGGCAATTCATACGGCGGTAATTACAGTGCTAGCACCGACTGGTGGGGGGCAGTTTGAATTCATTTCTGTATTGTATGTTAAACATTGCTTTTTCTTTACCAACTCAGGCGTTAAGGCCAAACGTGAAAATTTGATCTTATGTCTTTCTTACCATATAACATGATTCCCTTGTAAGAAAGTAAAAAATCTCAAGTTCAAAACCTTCCAAGACAATTTTCTTCAAGCTACTAATCACCTAAAAAAATTTTGCAGTTTCTTTTTTCACCCAAAGAAAGAAAGAAAAAGAAAGAAAAGAGAAAGAAAAAAAAACTTAACAAAGCAAAGATAATTAAACTCAACACAACACACAACACACACAAAGAAACAAAATCACATACATTCTGTTAAATTGCAACTCAATCGGAATAAATTAATCCAATTAATTAATCGCAAGTTAATTCAAATGAAGAAAAAGAAATGAGCAAAGCAAAAATTGAAAAATTTGCAAATGAAAAAAACTCAACCAAAAAAAATACACAAATAAGATTCAGCTTTTAAAAGCTTCAATCGAGCTTCAATTTTTGTCTGATAAAGCAAACTGATTACCAATACTTTATCATAATGATCATCATTATCATCTTTTCCCCAAAATCTTTCTCATTATCTTTCTCTCACTTTACACTTTCACCTTTTCACCCCTTTCTCTTTCTCTCTTTTTTTTATAATATTAATCTAATCATTTTTGCATTTTTACCGGTAATGTTAAAAGCAAGTAAAACCCAAAAATAAAAAAACTCTCTCAATAGTCAATAGATGGAGCAATCGAATCCATAGTAACCTCTTTAGGTTAACTCAAAGACGAGGTTATACTTTGATAGATGGAGCAACACTCTTAATCAGATATCAGATACTTAAACTGTTATAAATTGAAGTTTTTACTGTAAAGTAAGAAGTAAAAAAAAGTATAGAGTGAAGAAATTTTCTCCTTCATCTTCATCGTCTTCTTTCTTACCAACTATAAATTATAGAGAAGATATTGTGATACAGAAGTTGAGTTTCTCTAAGAAGTTGTATTTTTCTTGACAGCTTTACCTTTCTTTCTCTCTCTCACACTTTATCCTCATCTTTCTCTCTCCCTTGATCATCCAACAATCAACAGATAATCAGTTTCAACTTACTCTGCTAAAAGCCTAGTACACAACACACAAGCATGAGAAACAACAATAACAAATGTATCCAAACTCATCTCATCCTTTCATAACAAAAACAAAAACAAAAAATTAAATAATATAAACAAACAATTAATTGAAAACAAATTGGTATAACCTTTTGATAATAAATAAACAATAAATGATTAATTAATCAACTTGCAATGTATCCTTTATTAGCGGTAAATGGTTAAAATACAGATTTTAGTCATTTGTCCAGTTTCAAGACTTGACCAAATTCTGGACTCTTCAAGCCAAGTTCAATCTTGATCATCATTTGCCTTCAACCTTTAGATGAAGAAAGCATATTGAACTTGCTTTAGGCAGTGATTGCTGGTTCCTTTGATTGTTCATCTGACATCTTGAAGATTCGTAGGTTGATGGTTTCAATTGTTGATTGTTGCTGATTATTGAAACCCTTATTATCAAGTCTCACCCTTATTTGTGGCTAATTAATACAGCAAACAAAAAACTTTGAGCAGCTTTCTCCATTTGATTACCATTTAATCTTGAAATTAATCTTGAATCTGATAAATCCCTCACTTTTTGGCCATAATTATCATTTGCAAGTGAACCCAGTCTTATAAACACTGGAAATCAATCATTTAAATGATAATCATTTTCACTTTGACCTTCCTTTGCTACTTGAGCTGTGAAATTTTCATAACTTTTGCTTCTCTGCGTTTTGTTGATCATCATTTTTAATGTTAACTTGCTTTTACCATGAATTTCCTTTTCTCATTCAACCTTTCCATTAACATTTAATTCAGATAACATATCAATTCAATCTGCTTCATCATTTCTTCTCAATCGCATTTCTCTCTGTCCAAACAGTAAATACATCATTATCTTGCTTCTCCTCATCTCTCGTCCACAGCAGGAAACAATGTTTATTGGTGCAACTTTCACCATCATCTTATGAATCAACCTTAGGCAATGAGTTCTCAGTTGAACAGAAAGTCTTCTTTTGTTTGAACTTAAAGTAAAGAGAAGAAGAAGAAGAGAAAAAAAGAAGTTTCCTGTCTTTCTCTCTTCATGGGTTACAGATGAATAAAAAAATGATGGAAAAAAGCGAAATGATGAACAAGAAGATAAAAAGACTGATGATGATAATGATGTTCACTTGAAGAGGAAATTTGAAAGATAAATATCGTGTCAGATGTAACTGGTAATATCAATCTTGAAACTGATGAGTGACGTTGCTGTGTTTAGAGATGTCTCTTTGATGTTGATAGTGAAATGAGAGAAGATGAAGACAATGATGAGTTGATGAAAAAAGCTCACCTTTTCAAGATGATTCAACATCATTTTACGAAAACATTTACCTTTAATTGCGTCTTTTATTAGCATCTTTAACCGATTCCTTTGATCAATTACAATTGATAACATTGCGCTTTTTGTTCATTAAATTACACTTTTCCTGAATTTACTTTTTCAATCTCTTTACGTTTCTCATCAAATTTTCAATCTTTTTTTTTCATCTTTTCTCATCTTTTGCTCATCTTCTTCTCTTTCTTTTTTTCCTTTCAAATTGCATCTCAATGAGATTCTCTTCCCTTTTCTTCATCTTCTTTCTGTGTCAGCCTTTCTATCATCTTTACCTTCATACAGCTTCTTCATCTTGTCATCCTTTTCTTCTTTCTTTTACATTTTCCTTTTCAAATTCAAGAAAAGCTCATGAAGTATGATTGAAAATATAAATGAGATTTTCTTCTCTTCTCTTCTTTTCCTCCCTTTTTTATACATTTCATCATCATCATCTTCGATCATCATCAATTCACATATCTTCTTTTACCATCATCTTAACCATTTTAACCTGAGGCTTTTCAACAAAAAAAACTGGTCCAACAAATGGTGAAGTCAAGAGATGAGGAAAAGTAAAAAGACCAAGAAAACGATCTTCAATCTAAAGACTTGATTCCTTTGGAGTTAGATTCAGGGTTAAGATGTAAGTCTCGTTGCTCTCACCGGATTACAATTGAACTTTTCTTGTCATTTCCATCATCTTCTCATCTCATTGTCTCTTCCATTCAATAGTTAAATGAAAGTCTTGAAACATTTCAAGAATACTTTTGACTCCATGAATCCATTCATGGTAAAACCTACAGCAAATATGCAATATCAACCGAAAATGATGTTCAAATGGAATGAGATAAAGACATTTACAAAGGAAAAATTTTTGCAACAGAAAACCAAAAAACATGAAACTGTAAGACTAATGACTCTCATCCAGACTGATTTAGACGTGAAAATGAGCTTAAAATGTGAACATGAAAAAGTGACCAAAAACTGTCGATTCAGAGCAATTTCATCAAAATTTTCTTTTCATGAAATGATGAAAATTTCCCAAACATTTGACTTGTTTGAAATCAGTGACTTTGAATGATTTTGTTGATCACAATAATATGTAAAAATAATCATTTTGTTTCTGCAAAAACGAAACCTAAATTTGCAAATAAGATTCCGTTTTCAGAGAAGCAAATATTCTGGTTACTGTACGGTTGAACATTTGAATAGACCTTTTCTTGGGTTAAATTGACTACGTGACCATAGTGAAGCAAGGTGGACAATAGGGCATGAAAGAAGAGGAAAATTGTTGATTTAGATGAATAACAAGAAGTAGGTAAAAACTCACTTGACCTCAACCAAAAAAAGAAACTGCAATGTTGATCATTGAATAGTTACTAGAGAGACAAGGATCGATCCAATCGGCAAAAGTAACAAAATATTGAATTAAAGTCTAAGTTACAAGTTAATATTACATGGTTAAGAGCAGAAATGAAGATGAAGAATAAGATGATGAAGATGATGAAGATGATAATGATGAAAAAGTCAGTGAGAAGAGGAAAAATGAACCACAGAAAATGTTACTCAAGAAGAAGAAGAAGAAGAGAGGAACCAAAGAAAGTATTTTTTTGGGTAGACAATAAAGAGAAGAGAAAAAGAAAGAGAGAGAGAGATGAAGATGATAACTAGAGCAGAGAGGAGGATAAAGCTGAGGGAGCGTAAGTATGATGAGAAGAGAGTGAAAAAGAGACTGCGGAGTGAGACGGGAAATGAGTGAGACGCGAGAATTAATATAGGTAAAGTTATATTCACTAAAATTTCTGGTTCTGCCGGTTCTGTTAGGTTTTGCCATCTTCATCATCATCATTATCATCATCTTTCTTTATCTTTATCTTTTTCTTATTCTTTTTTTTCTGTAAAAAAAGTTTCTTCTTGTGGTTTTGGTTCTTCATCTTCTTCAACTTGACTCTCAATGTGAAAATGGTTTTTGCTTGAAACTCTTTTTTTCATTTTCTTATCCCTTCACTCTGATGCTTTTTCCCTCGTTTCATCAACTTTGTATACACTTAGCAGAGTGCTTCATGTTGCACCAAAAAAAAACTTGAGTTTCCCTTGTTAGTCTTGCACTTTGGCAAAATTAAAGTTTACCTTCAACTTTAAGTTTACAAATTTTAGGCCAATGGATCTACAAATCTGGTCTGCAATCGTTCTAGACTTACATTTCAGATAGAAATTTTACTCTTCTGGATTTACATGATGGATTGAATTTGGGAAGATGCGAGATTATGACGAGAAATTGTTGAATTTAAAAAATGATCCATTTTGAGTCAGTTAAGGTTCTCGAGGTGAGTCGAGTTGAAGAGTAATAAAGGTACTCAGGTTAGCATCTTCATTGCCTCTAAGTTTAACCAACTTTAAATAGACTTTGTCATCGGGTTATTTTGCATTATTGGGACAAAAAATTGAAACTTACAACCAAAACCAAGGTAATCCTTTTCGGCTTTCCTTTATTGAATAGAGATACTTGAGTCTAATAAGATTTATTTAGCCAAATTTAACCATCGGCTCACTTCGACTAATCTGGTAAAAATAGGTTCAACTCAAGACGACCAAGATTCAAGAGGACAAAAGATTGTTACTGACCAAAGATTTTATTCAGAAAAAAATTTCCCTTTTCAATGACTGCTTATAACCATGATCGGACTATTTTGTCATGAAAAATTGATCACTACTAATAATAACTTTGATGAGTAAAGTTGATTTTATCTCAACTACTTCTGTATTCAGAGCATTTAATGTTCATTTTTGCTCGACTTTTTCCATTTTCCAATTTCCATTTCTAGCTATCCATTTCTGGACACAACCTGGCTCAATGGTGCAGGTCAAAGATTTTCAGTCAACTTTGAACGAAACGGGAAAAAATTTCCAAAGAAAAGTTGAAAAACTCGCTGG